GCTTAGTGTGTATTCATTAATATTAACTCGTTACAACGTGTGTCATGTAAAAGTAATTGACGGAATTACGCTCGTTTGGTCGCGATGATTAATTGTGATTTTACGGTCAGATTTATCATTCATTTACAGAGGTAAATTAAATATATTGAAAATGTCATTTTATCGAATCGTAACTGCATCAAACCAAGTCATACAATAAATGCTCAAAAATTCATAATCTCTCCAATGATGTTTAACCCTCGTGGTTGAAAAAAAAATCATACGATTGTAATCGTCGCTGTTTACAACAAAAGTAGTCGCGCGCAGCATAACTGAGTAATTGCCGGATTAGCATTACAAAGGGAACGTCGCTCTTCTTTTTTTGCCTTGCGAATCGCGATTGACTATCTATATCTCACCTTCTCCGCGTGTGCACGCGCGCGCCCGCGCATCCATTGTATCGTTGTGATATGACTCGAACAAACTAAGTATGTCTACCTCACTTGCACGTAAAAGCAAGTGAGCGACTCTGAATGGTATTTCGTCTCTTTCTTTCCATTTTAATTTTTCGACAATATATTTGTTATGGTTACTTTGCCGCTTGTGGAAATTCCGTGTTTGCGAAATTTTATATATGGGGTTTGGATGTTGTAGCCTTTTAGATTTTTTATCAAAATGATAACACTCAAATTTGAGCAAATACTTTGCTTGAGTTTGTATTGAGTCAATTAAAGTTGATGAAATATTATCTTAACTTGTCGAAATATTTAAAAAAGGCATTTCCAATATAAATTTAATTTTATAAAATATATTCTTGAAAATTCAATTATTCATGAGTACAAACTATTTAGATTGTTGTCCATCTAGTCTATACTTTCAGTTATTAAAAAAAATTATAAATATACTTTTTTTCCTTTGAAAACAAAAAAATATATTCACGTCAAATTCAGAATAATAAATGACAGTCGTCCAACTTTTAAACGTTTATCCGATTGCTTGTTGGCATTTCTTCGAAACGGGCTCTTAATTCAAGATCTCCTCGAGTAACACCAGCCGTAAAATGTAAGTGACGCGAAAATCTAAGTATATGCAAAGCTCCCACTGCGGAAACGCGTATCTGTACTTCTTCGATTCCCTGTATCAAAGACCCTCGCAGTAACACGCGTGCTATACGGAAAAACAACGGCGACACACTTGCGCATCAGGAAATCGAGCAGTGGAAGGTAAAAAGAGAGAAGTGTCCCAGAGCGCGATATGCCATGCGTCAGAAGAGCTCTACGGTAGAGAAAGCGCCAAAAGTGTGCGCACGCGACTTTAGTGCGCGCGTTCGCACGGATCTTACGTAAATACAGCTTCACATCATACGGATAAGTTGTGACTGCCTTTTTTTTCCTCTCTATCTCTTTCTCTCTTGAGTGTAGGAGGACAACGTCGAGTCTTCCTTTGTAGGCATATTCTTCGAGTGTAGGTGCGCGATATGTCACGTTCGTGATTTTACGTTGCGCGTGTAAAAGGTTAATCGGGCGATCGAGATGAAGATTTATCATTTGTTATACGCATGCGACGGCGATGAAGATGAGAGGTAAAAGCTCGTGTCTCGACGATTGTTATGACCACCATTCTAAACTTTCTTCCGTCTTGTCAATTGAGGCTCGTTTTGTGTGAAACGAGCATACGAAAAAAACGAAACATTACTTATCTCTATGACGATTATTACGTAAATCGCGCGATTGAAGAAGAGCCTACTCATGCGCCAAAGTGAAAATCGCAATTATTTATACTTTGACAAGCGTTTGGAAGGGTATACGAAAGTTTGATTATTCATACATTCGATGAACAGCTGTATTCAGAATTAAACTTGATAGACAGTTAAAAAATGTTTTTCTTTTTCATGGAAGCAAGGGGAAATTAAAATTCACTACCTGCAGTTACAAATTTAACAGCTTGATCAGTCGCAAATTCATCTAATTAATTAGGGTAAAGTTTAATGCTAATAGATGAATTATGCACACTCATGACTTATTCCGAGAGGAATGTCAAATAGAAATTCGCTGAATAATCAAGTGCTGCATATTTCAAGAACTTACGTAAAAATATTCTTGTAAAAAGTGGAATTAAAACAAATAAGAGAATAAAGACGTCGAGCCGACAGCCAAAACGCCGAAGGCAAACAAAAACGACGAATATGCCATTACGCATAACAGCATCAATAGAGAATACATCAGCCGACACGATCGTCGGACGTGCCACATGTATAAGAAATCGCCTGGTCCATCTTATGTCTCTCTCCATGGGCGATCAATCGATAAAAACCCACGACGTTTGGTAATAAGGTCTGGGAGAAAAGGGAAAACTCGTCCGTGAAGAAGATCCTTGCCAATTTTTTTTCCAGCTGGCTTGGTTTCGCACGTTACGTCACATAGTGCCGAGAAGGATTCGCGCAAAAGGATCTTGCTCTCTCTCTCTCTCTCTCTCTCTCGCAGAGGCATTGTCATTAAATGCGACGGGCCTTCTTCTTTACGTAACGAACTATGTACCTACTTGCACTAGGAATCCCTTTTTTTTATGTAACACTGCACGATTGGACACGCCGATTAATGACCGCGAGTAACGGCGAATCAATCGATTGTATTGTATGCGAGATCGCCTATGGTGCGTGCATAAGTACGATTGTTTTGGTACGTGGCAGTATGAGTGAAGATTTGATTATTGGAATGTACGGTCATTGCTCGATTGTAATTGTCTTTGCGATTGATGACTCAGGAAGTACCTTTGCATTGTAATGAGCTTCTATTTGTTATGATGAAGAAAGTTATTTTGCGTGTAGACGAATACTTGATGCTTTTATTTTCATGATTCCTTTTTAGAATGTATAAGATTTTATTATCACTCCGCCTGAATATATAATCTGTGTTACCCTGGTGTTACGATGCGACTTCGCGCGCTTGTTGATTTTCAATATATCTACTTTGTTCGAAATTATAATTTGAATTGGATATTACATTCAAATTGAATATTTGGATTTTGATAAGAATATATCAAAGAACATATTGTAATATGATCTGAACGTATTACAAAGCCTGTCGATCCGCGATTTATTTATTTTTTGTTTAAAATTGGAATTCCAATTCGATATATACTGAAATAGAACATTTCAACTTCGAGTAGAATACATCGAATAGGATCTTTCGATAGTGGATGTAGAAGATTGCGCGTACTGAAATAAAAGTGTAAAAGCCATTCCTTTATTCGATATATATAAAAATACATTAAAATTTTTTTATTAGAAAAATGAATTATATTTCGCGTTTAATGGTCTTTCCCAATCGTTCCATTCGAACATAAAAAGTAATAATAGATATTTTATAAAAAAGCGTAAGCTATATGAGCTTTGATATCATCATAAAATATTAGCGGGCTTCAAATTCGCAACCAAATCCAGAAAGAGAAACTTAATTGAAATCGATAATCATCGGGCAATGACTTGGTAATCTTTTCATTTGCAAAAGAAAACCATTACAAATTTTTCATTACCCGCGCGTATCGCGGACGATCTCTCGTTGAAAAATACACAGCATGCAGGCAGAATTCAATTGCACACACCCGAAAACTATCGCGGGTGGAAGCAATTGAAATATCATTCTCGCGCTTCATGTTCATCAAGCGATTTATGCAGCAGCTGTCGCGTCGGCATAATGGTCGATTCCGCAAGAGCGCAAAACAACAAGGTATTTATTCTCGACAAAGCGAAAGGGTCATCCTTTGTCTTGAAGGCCGTCGGACGGAACGGACGTACAACTAATAATCGGTTTTGAGGATAGCCCAAAGTTTACGTGCAACATAACGTGAGTGTAAAACCTCTACTGTGGCCATAATTTCAAAATATTTCAGTTATAAACATGCTGGGTGTTTGACCTTTAGCTACATTTTCCAGCCCACATCTTAATTTGTTTTGCAAGTTCGTTTTAAATAACGTGTTTTTGGATAAATCTATTAGTCACTCAAACAGCTTTCATAGAATAAATTGATACTTTAAAAGGAATTTGATTGGTATTATCTATAGCTAATCGGTTACGTAGCACTAGATTTCTTCGTTTTAAAAATCACAAGTTAAAAGCCTCATGAAAGAAAGAATAACAATTTGCTCCGTGCTAATACTTTGCATGCAGTGATGGCCATTGCTCTGTACGCAGTCAATTATGGGAAACACAATAACGACTCCACAACTGAAAATCGGGCGCTCGGATCATTTTTGATTGCAACCTCGTGCATAATGATTATGACTCTTCCTCGTCTCTCTCGCTCTCTTTCGACCATCCGTTGGTAGTATCTTTCGTTGTTCGCTCTGAATTTGCGCAAGAGAAGAACCGACTGCTCTCGTCGCATTTACGTCACGATCTCGGCGCGCGCGAGAAAGTACTTATCTAGGGGGGCTACTAACGCGGAAGGGGAGATAATTGCTGGACTCGGACTTACGCGAAGAAAAAATCGAAGATGCTTAGGGGCCGAGAGCGCGCTTGGAGAATTTGCATTGTTGCAACTCGAGAGAGAGAGAGAGAGAGAGAGAGAGAGAGAGAGAGAGAGAGAGAGGAAGAGAGTGAAAGAGGAAAAGGATCCAGTTTATCGGCTAGAGAAAAGTTACTTTTCTTGCAGACACTATTGTTACTGGAATATGGAACTACGAGAAATGAGAGAGAGGGAGAGAGAATTTGAGCTTCTATATGTTGGCCCAGAGCTTATAGATTATCCCAAGATCTCAATAGCTGCTGGCGATGCTTTTCTTCCTTTTCTTCTTTGATCGGTCTGAGTGTACTATCCATTTGGGTATTTGATTTGTTTGAAATGCTTTTGATTGCAGTTCCAAAATGAGATTAAGATTGAAGGAGATGGTATACTTGAGATGTACTATATTTTCTTGTATAATGAGCAAACAAAAACGACTGGGATGTAATGTTATGTGTAATTTACTTGCTAAAGATATATTTGGCGTACAATGAAAATTCGTTTTCTTTCCGTTTCAGGTAAGCCAAATTTTTTCATCACTACTTTCCATCATCATGGGACGTCCGTGAGTAATCCACATAAAATCATCTACGTTTATCAAATCATCGCTTGCATCCTTTCTTGAGGTCATAACAAGACGCCAAAATACAATTGAAAAAAAAAAGTAAAAGAAACTAGCCTGGATATCGAGTTACATAGCAGCACGTAACTACAGCTGCGCGAGATGAAAATTTCCGAGCGCGCGTTTTCTCGGCAAGAGAATCTCGACAGCCGACAATTAAGCCCGTCTGATCTCCTCGTATATGCAGCGCCCCATCAAGCCGAGAACGCGCAAAACGTCGAGCTAATTAAAACATCGCAAAAGTTTATCATGGCGACGTGTATCTACGTAAATATCTCGACCTTAACCCAGGCCTCGCAAGCGCACTTATGCGAGTTTAACTCAATTATAAATTTCTACTTATCAAGTGTATGCGTGCGCGCGCGCGCATGTGTGCGACGGGTTTTCTTGTGGGAAAATTTCGTTACACTGTTTAGATAGTCACGTTTTGTGCCGTTAGGATGCTGCAGACTTTATAACAGTTTTGAATAACTTTTGACAACAAGTTTTATCGTATACAGAGGAACATTTTCGATATTTCGGCGTACGGAACTGCATTATTCATCGGACATTAACATCACGGAAAACGCATTAATATACCATGCGCTGCTCTATCTCGGCATGACTTTTGCACTTGCGGCGTGCAATTTATCAGAGTTGATACAGTTGAGGCGTAGAATGGAGTGGCTATTAGCTAGGAAGATGCCCTCGAATAAATCTCTCTCGGCAAGTTGAAACTTGCAAAGTATGCGCGCAGTCGCTAAATTTTGTCGCAGACTGTTTCGTATACGTATAACTCGACAGTGCGAGGATGGCACTTCATTCGGCACATGCTGCGCAGAAATATCGAAGTCAGAATTGTCTGGCCCAATTTCCGCTACTCTTGCTAGTAGGTAATTATGCGGAAATTGTCCGAGCGTAGAGCCGCGAATTTTGTTTTTTTTTCTGCTGCTGCAGGGCCACGCGGATATGAGAAGTTTCGAGCCGATATACTACGGATATGGAGTTTGCAGCAGTTCAGGATTTTGACGATGGCAAAGAGAAAGAGAGAGAGAGAGAGGGTAGCTTCGATAACGCGCTGAAAAGTAATTAACTGCTTGGGCTAGCCGCTCTACTACCACTACGGTTGACGGCTGTGTGTTTTAGGGGTTTCGCTTCGAAAGTTGATTGTATAGGAAGGATTCGTTGGCCTAGAGTTGTTGGGTTAATTAATTTTCCCGAGTTTGAGGGAGGAGAACTGGTGTTTAATGAAATCGTATATGCGCGCTGCTATACCTTGAGTTACTGATGTTTACTTTTAAGAAATATATCCGGCTAATCAATTGTACGGATTTTTAATGATCCCAGTCGGTTGTTCACAAGTCAGTCAACTCGTTAAGTAAATATTCTTAATCAACACTTTCAATTTCATTCGATTGCATTTTGTAATTCAACATTAGAGCTGAAAAAAATTCGAATGACAGTTTACGTTTGAAAGAAAAAGAAAAGTTATCTTCTGCAGCACAACTTTTGTAGTGAGAGAATTCAATTATTACTCACAATATGATACTTTGAGATTAATACATCACTTTATAGACGGGTAGTCTCGATTATATTTAAATATTTCTATGTTTTATTCGAAGTTTGAGAATAATTCATATTTCAGGCTAAATCGTACATTTGCAATTCAAAAATCCAACTATTTTCCAGAATCACAACGAGCAACTGAATCTTTGCTTCAAACCGATAAATCATTTGTGGTCGTATTTTCTCAAAAGCACTATTGCCGATATCTCATTTTCTGTTTATATCGTTCGTGAAATAAGAAAATTTCGAGGCGCGCGCGAGCCAGAGGCAGTCAAGTTGACAAAGCCCCAAAGCCAGCAGCATAAAATCACAATACAAAACTTGGGAGAGAAAGGAGGGGAAAATCCGTCCGGAAGAGCGAGGAACTTGAATCGGGGATATAGCTCTCCGCCCTCCGAAAAATAGCGTCGCCGTTCGCTGGTCGTGCATAAAACTTTAATTTCCCGAAGAATTTGCCGATATATATCCGTCGGCGGTAGCCGAACAATCGAGGTGGGTGCTGCCGCGGAATCGTTAATCGAAGCACGAACTTTGGTTTTACTGTCCTGTGCAAAAGTCATTCGAAACTCTCCTCACTATTACTACTACTGCGAAGAGGGCTTTACGACTTTTGCACAGCTTCGGCTTTCTCCACTCTCGGTGTTTAGCTTTTACCCCGTTTTTTCTCCTTTTTGCTTATTTGTAAAATATAGCGTGGGGAGGGGGGGAAACCGCGAATAAAGCTTATGTAAAATTTAATCACTCCTCGCCGCAGTAGCGCGCCACCGGCCCGCGAATCGTCTCATAAATCAAACGGGGGTGAGATGTAGTATGTGTGTGTTGGTTTTAGTTCGAAGCTATGAAATATAGCATTTGCTTTGCTTACAGTTGCCATGGATTTACCGCTCGGTCGTGCGCGCCGCACTGGTAGGGTAGTAATCGTTTTGATAGCGTCGTAAGCTGCCGAGTTCGAAGCTTGCAATCGCGGATTCTTTTTTTATGCCGACTCTCTCGCTCTCTCTCTCTCTCTCTCTCTCTCTTTCTTCCTTGGGTGTGATGATTAATGAAAATAACACTGCCAGATATAAATAATCCTCGAGCTGATATTTGCATTTGGTACAACTCTATAAATCGATTCATGTCGATTCAGACTTTCATTCTCCATAGAAACACTAGAAAAGTATCCAACGGATATAATAATGCACAATTAAAGATTTTCATTTCTGCCACCATTCGACTTTCTAAAGTCGCCGAGATAGTGAAAAATACAAGTCTAACTAACTCACTGTTGCGCTACGTATATTGGCCTGAAATTCCTGAAAGATAGCGCGAGTTGCGCATTTCAGTGCGCCAGTTAGATTTGCACACGCTTCGCTTCCTTCGCGAGAGCCGAGTGAAGCTGCAGCGTAGTCGAGCAAGCAGACTAATTTTCGCGAGGCATCGACAAATCTAATGATCTCCTCTTCATTGGATTTTCTGAGAACTCCTTGCGAGAGAGCTGAAAGCGCTTCTGTAGTTTTGTTTTTTTAATTATTTCTCTGTTTCTGAGTATGCCTTAACGTAATTTTCCGAGTTTATATTACGAGCTGACAGTTTATCTTGTATTAATAGATTTTAGGTCGGTGCTGTTAATTGGAATATAATTCATAGATATTTGTTAGGGATGTTGATTGTCAATTTTTAATAAGTGACAATTAATTTAGTGAAACTTTACGTTTTTCAGTTTGTCGTCTTTGATTCTCCAAATGTTACATACCATGGTGAAATGAAAAATATTTTTCTTATTACTCGTGAGATTCTTTATATAGCTTATTCACACAATCTCAACAGTGCATAATAAATTATTTAATCATCAAAAATGAATTGTTCAGCTATTTTGTACCAATATATTCTAAACATATAGTGATTTTGATTTAATAATATTCATAATGTCTAGCCATCTGACAACTATTGATGAAAACTAAATAAATAAACTCTAAAGTCCATAGCGTGGTAGCCACAGCGCAAAAAAAAAAGTGTAAAAAATCATAACCCACCCAACCCCGGAGCGCCGCACAGACGGGTTGTAATTATTATGACCGCGTATTACGTATTCGGATGTTCTTCCGTCGCTCGTTGGCAACACGCATAGCTAGCGGCAGACAATGGCTCTCGATTCCCATATTATGCAAATGCCATCGTTCGCACCGTGCACGCGTCCCCGCCCGCGAAAATGCGCTCTACGCTCGCGCAGCTCGGCCGCTTTTATCGCCGGATTGCACGATCTCTCCGCGGCACCGCTCTACTATTTAGCTGCTTGTTTCGACTGCGGCAATTGTCAGTTGGCTGCGAGCGCGTCTACGTCGCCCGCTGCATGCTCGTTATACGAAGAGCGAATTTTCGAAATCGACGCGGCCTGCTAAAGAAAAAAATGGTATTAGGTATCGCGCGGTAGGCGTGTGCTTCTCGGCGGATATACCTGCGTCGAAGTGTACTTTCTCCACGTGCAGATTTCCTCCGATTCGTGAAAAAATATGAAATTTCTATGGTGCGCTCTTCGGGAATGCAAACGAGACTATGTTTTTATCTTTTTTCGCGAAAAATTTTGTAGCCCAAATTTCTCAAAAATCCACAATTTTAATGCAAACCTGGTAGCGTAAACTAATTTCCATCTCCAGCAGAAAGAAAACTCCGGCAAATTTTCTTATTTTATAGAGTAGTTGGGATATTGAAGTTGAAAAAAATTCAAAACACGAATGTCGTAACTTTCCGCGATACGTGCACGGAGGGAGGGGGTGTATATATATATAGGGTGTGAAAAAGCAACACCTGGCGAAAGGTAGGTATAACGCGATTGCGAAGCGCGCGCTTGCGACCACGGAAAAAACGAGACCAACGACGTGAGTCCAAAAATTTCCAGCCGTAGTTTTATATGCGCGCTCGTGACGCTACAAAAGCGTTACCACGTGTGCGGGTGTGCGTTGAATTTTCTACATTCTCGTATATTTTTTGAAATATGAAACTAGCAAATATAACACCTTTTTTCGTATTCTGTTTCTTCTTTCTCTAAGGGAATTGATTGGTGCGAATTGTTTACTTTAATTGATATTGGAGTGAAAATGTCTTATGAGAGGGAGAGAGATTTTCCGTTGTCTTAATTAATTGTATGGTTGGGTTTTATTCGTAAATAAATGAAACGTTGTTCTCTGAAACTGACCGTTGATGAATTGCAAATATTAAAATTCATAAAAATGCATTTCTATGAAATGTATAAAAATGAAGATACTGAAGCGTTTAGAATAGCAACGATATAAATTCGTCAATGATTTATCAACGCGACAAATGACTTCCCGCAATCGTCGCATCTTTTCATTCGAAACAAAGAGAACACGCAAAAAGAGAAAAAAAAGCCAAGAGGAGGATTTCCATATCGGTACAAG